TGCACAATATTTGTGGAACAAAATGGCGATATTAAAATTTATTAACCAAAACAATGAAGCTATTTTAGAGGACCAATAATGTCACCAGTTGAGTCGAGTATGAAAGATCATAGTAAGAAAGATGATAGCGACGAGAATAGGAAAAAGGAAGCACAAGTGAAACCAACTGAAGAGAATAAAGTGAAACAAGCAGATCAAGAAGTAGCGACTGCTAGATATCCGGATGGCGTTAACACAGAAGCACCAATCAAAGGTGGCTCGAAGAAATCGAAATCTCAAAAATCCATCAAAAAAGACAAGGGAAGTTCTTCGAAGAAGCAAAAGAAACAAACTGATAGTGCATCGCAAAAGATTCGAAAAGACGGCGAAGAAAGTGCCTCTAAAACAGCTCAACTCGTCGAAGATGCTGAAAGCCCTAAAAACCTGAAAAAAGCTGAAATCGCTTCTAACTCATCGAAGAAAGCAGACGATAAGGTCGAGAGTGATGAAGGAAAAGAGAAAGTCGCTAATGCATCGCAAAAATCAAGCAAAAAGAGTGCAAAGCAGAAGGAGAATAGGCGAGAAGACAGGCCACAGAAAGGCGACCAAGAAGGTAGCAATGATGAAAGTGGAGAAATCGAAGACGACGACTCGTCATCCGGAACAATTTCACGTTCAACCGCAACGACGTCACCCACACTGAAAAGTGAGTTNGAACAATATGTATTATCATTACTCGAAATAATGCGCATTATTTTAGTAATCGGTGCCACTATAAGATTTCTGTCGACATTTACTGCTCTTCAAATTTCTCTCTATTTTCCAAAATTCCCCAAGAACGATTCGAAATATGACAAAAGTTTTGGGTCGTCGCGAAATCGAACACAGTCTGATCGGATTCTCAAAGCCTAGCATAACCTCATGCCTCGAATCTATTTATATCTTCTCATCTCTCACTTCACATCTAATATCTATCTATTTATGCCGGCCTCTTCAAGCTACCCACAATATTCGACACATAAATCACCATGTGTATTTATGAACGAACAACACATATGTTGTGTTTGCAGTGCAAAAGAAGAAATTAGCTGAACACAGAAAGCGAATCGAAGAAGCTGCAAAAGCAACGAGTAGCACATCGTCACAAAGTAGCAACAGCTGGGAACCGTTAAGAAAAGCACCGCCCAAGAAAGGGGACTGCTATGTGATGTAATCTGATTCATTTAAAAATACTATAATACTAACTGCATAATAAATAATCACATCAATATTATTTCTTAAACGAACTGCAAAAATGAATTGTGCGCTAACAGTGTTCTTGCGCACAGATCAA